CACACACACACACACACACACACACACACACACCCCTCTTTCTCAATTAGGAAAGAACCTGGCATACAAAAAGTATTCAATAAATATCTGTTGAATGAACAAAATCATTAATAAATGAATGGCTTCATTGAATACTTCTCAGTATTATTTGAGACCTTTTATGACGATGCTTTCCTTATTCTTTAGAGCTATATTTATTAGCTTTGAATAAATTTAATCAGGCCTTTTTCCTATCCCAGAAGTAGTGTGCTTGCTGACTGTGGAGTGGAATGTTTGACATGAGTAAGGAGTTCAACACTTTTCTCTATCTGGAGATGGCTGCCCACTCTGCAGCACCGCGTGACATGCGTACTCTGCCCCCAGGGAGTCTGTCTGGTCTATCTGGGCTTCAGTTATTGGTGGAACATGGTACAGAGAATTTACTGTAAGAACGGTTGTATAATGCTTGTCAAAACTTGACCAAAGAGAGAGGTACAGGACAGAGATGACAAAGCTTTTGGATTAGGTCCTTGACTATGCCCAGGCGTCTCGTCTGCAAGCAGAGTCTTAGTTCCCCTGTGATGAGTGCTGTTGGGCATCAGGGCTGCCAGGCCACCGTAGGCACTCTGGGGCAGGGCTGTCTGCTATACCCAGAAACTGTTTAGCTGCATTTATTGCTAACACATTCAATGTTTTCTTGAGTCTTTTTTCTTAAATTGATTTTCTTGAGTCTTAGCCTCTTCAATTGTTTTCTCAAAATTCTGGATGTTTGCCACTGTGCTATTACAATAAAGAGGTGGAGAACCATCCTTTTAGCATCCGGGGACTCAGTCTGCTGAGGCTATTACTCAATGCTTGCTGGTTATAAATAAGTGACTCTTGCTACCTATTGCATTTTAAGTTCACTCGTAAGTTTATAGGAATAATAATGATGATCCTGAAGTTCACAGATTCACAGGCCCTCAGTGTCACCTGCTTAGAACGGAGGGCTCGGTGGTGGGTCATGTGTGATGTGGGTTGTTGGGAAGAGCTGTACATGCTGATGAACTGGTTTAAAAAGCTGACATGCATTTTAAAAGGTTGTGAAAGGCAGAGTGGTATGACCTGACGCCAGTTACCCCATGGCTGACAAATAGGTCTTGTGACATTTGGCTTGTCAGGCTCTGTCACTGGGTCACATGTGCCCTTATAATACAATCCCTGAGTTCCTCCGGGTGCTTCTTCCCAGACTGCCTCCCACACTGCCACAAACTTTGAAAATGCCTGAGAGAGGATAACGGCCCTTGGAATGAGAGCTTCCAAAAGTGTTGACAACACAGTAACATGAGAATGCCGACAGAGGAGAGGAGGTGCCCGATCTCGTGGCACCTACGTCCTAGTGGGAGAAGGTAGAGCACAGGTGATTCGAGCAGATGGAAGAAAGAGGAATGCAGCTTGATAAAATACAGACCAAGCAGTGTGCCATGGAGGGGAGAAGTGTGGACGCTGCTTCGTAAGGGGCTCTCAGGGAGGGCCTCTCCAAGCAGCTGGTGTTTGCAGGAGCCCTAAGTGACAAGCAGG